AGAGGAGGTCTCTCTCTCTCCTTGTTTCCTGGCTAACTTCCCCTCTGATATAACAGAAAATAAGGTCAACCAGTTATGAGATTTATTTTGCTTGGGTTGTGCTGCAAATTTAGTCTTCTACAAATAGAAACAATTTGATGGGATGGGGAGGGGAGTTATTACTGCGATTTTACTTTCCAATTATTTTGTTACAACTTAAGTATATTTGAGTACTGAGCTTTCCCCAAATTACGTCTTCATTTTAAGTTGTTTTTCTTGGTTTTGTTTGTTTGTTTGTGTGAGGGGCTTCCAAAAGTTCACAGGGAAAATTCTTATTATCTTTTCTTTTGCGTTTCCATGAACTTTTTGAATCCCCCTCATATTTTTCCCCTCTAATACCTGGCTCTTTATTTGCCACCTCACTGACTTTATCAAGTTTGAGTTACTTTATATTTTGCTCTTTGAGATAATAACAATGCTATAATGTTGAGGTGGTTCTGATGCCAACTGCAAAACCGTTTTTCCGGGCAATGCTGTGAGTTCACGCACATCTTTGGTTAGCTGGGATAACAATGACCCCGGCAGAAATGTATTTTCCAGATAAACTGTGGGATGGAAATGTAAAAGGTGTGATTTCTCTGTTGTTGCTCGTTGCTGGCTCTAACTGGAAGGCAGCCCTGTGTGTAATAGAAAGAAACAGCCCTCCCAGTGCAGGATTGTTCATTGGCTGGATTGGGAGTAGAGGGTCAAACCTTTCTTCCTAGTCCATTTCTCTGTAGGGAAGCTCTTTCGAACAACGCAAACCCCGACTGGGAGACTGCTGGTGGCAACCGAGGAGGTACATTGGCAGGAGAACTAGCCTGGGCCTCCTTCAGGAAGGCGATTTTCTACCACTTTTCTTAATAACAACAGAAGGAACATAGGAGCCTAATTGGCTCTAAATATTTTTTGTCTCATAGTTCTTTATGCTGCAAATGACTATAGATTATCTTTTTACTCATTCTCTGGTCTCACTAGGCTAAACATTTTCAGTTTTTATCTACTATGGTAGATATGGTATCTTTTCCGATTTCTGATAGTTTTTATTACCCCATGAGCTCATCAGTCCTTCACCTAAGTGACTACTGAGTGGGTCTATATGTAAGCCGTGTACTCTGTGTGCGTCCTCAAATAACCTTCAGGAGTCTAGACAGCACTTCTTTGAGTGAAATCGTTCTCTCGTTATTAAGCTGACTGTATAAGGTAAACGTTAAATACTTCTGCTGTGACTTAAGCTCACATAAGTCCTTCGGTAAGTGGCAGCCCTGGTTCTGACAGCTAACCCCTTCTTTGAGTGACTGGGGCAGCCTGTCTCAGCAGGCGTCTCGGAGCACTAGTTAATAGCGCAGTCTCAGGGCCCAGGCTGCTCTCACAAATTCCCATTCCCTGTAGAAGACGTGAGAAAGACGGCAGCCCACCTGAAATGTGTGTTCTTCATGAATCGTGTCTGCAGCCTGGTCACGATACAGTTATTTTTAGAAACGAAGCTAGCAACAGGATGGATTGACACAGTGGCTGCAACAATTGGCCAAACAGGCCCTACTTTATCCTGTAGGGTCACTGTGAGTCCGAATTGATTCAGTGGCACATAAAAAAGAGCCAGCGTTTTATCTTTTTTCCAGTTGGTTGCAGCCAGTTACCTACCTATAGCATTAGTGCTTACAGATACTCTTTAGCTTACCTACCATCAGAAAATGTTCTCATTAACTTTGGTCTGTTATCCAACTGGGTCATCACTTCCCTACCCTCTCCCGTTTCTACAGCTGCAATGTTTTGCCTGTTCCTCATCCCCTTCTTCCATAGCTGCCATCTCTGTTTTGTGAGCTCTGGGCCAGGCCAGTGGGGTGGAGGTAGGGGGTGGGGAGCTCATGCTGTAACTCTCTCTTTTGAGCTCCCGTGTAAGCCCTCGGTTTGCTGTCCTGACTCGCTCTGCTCTCTGTCCCTCAGAATTTGAGTCCTCTTTTTCTCTGACTGATGGCATCATCACTCCATGTACCTACCCAATGTCCTCCTTTAGGTCCCAAATCTGGCACCTCTCATCAGATAGATACCCCTTGAAATGAAATTCTTAACCTTTCATATCAGCAATACTTGTCAGTGCTGGGCTGTGATTGGACGCTGTAAATGTAAGGAACTGTATTTTCTGTAGGACTCAGCTTTAATATGCCTTCAGAGACCATTTTCTTTCTTTTTTCTTAAAATCATTTTATTGGGGGCTCTTATAACATTCCATACATCAATTGTATCAAGCATATTTGTACATATTTTGTCATCATTTTCTAAACATTACTTTCTGTTTGAGCCTTTGGTATCAGCTCTTGATAAATTATAAATCCCCCTCATGATCCCTTGATAAATTATGAATTATTATTATTTTCATATCTTACACCAACCGCTGTCTCCCCACAGTTTCTGTTGTTCCTCCCCCTGGGGGTGGTGGTGGTGGTTATGGGTCTATCATTGTGATTGGTTTCCCCTTCCTCCCCTCCTCTCCCCACCTTCCCTTTACTCTCCTGGTATTGATACTCCCATTTCTGTACCTGAGGGGTTTATCTGACCTGGATTCCATGTGTCCCAAGCGCTTATCTACCAGTGTACACACTCTGGCCTAGTAGCCCAAAGTGAGAGGCAGGACTGGGTTCGTGATAGTGAGGGGTGAGGAAGCCTCAAGGAACCAAAGGAATGTGTTTCATCGGAGCTATACTGCACCCTGATTGACTCATCCCTTCCTTGTGACCCTTCTGTGAGAGGATGACCTATTGTCTACAGATGGGTTTGGGGTCTCTGCTCCGACCCCCACCCCTCGTTCTCAACAATATGTTTTTTGTTTGAGTCTTCTGATGCCTGTTACCTCATCCCATCAACACCTCATCATCTCATAGACTGGTGTGCTTCTTCCATGTGGACATGCTACTTCTCAGATAAATGGCCACTTGTTTAACTTCAAGTCTTTAAGACCCCAGACGCTGTATCTTTTGATAGCCGGAGACCATCAGCTTTCTTTACCACATTTGCTTGTGCACCCATTTTGTCTTCAGTGATCATGTCAGGAGAGTGAGCATCACTTAATGCAAGGTGGTTAGAACAAAGTGTTCTTGCATTGAGGGAGGGCTTGAGCAGAGGCCCAAAGTTGGTCCACTACCTCAATGTATTGCCATATAAATATATGCACCTGTGCCAATATCTCTATCTTTATGAATTAATATATTTACATAAGTGCACACCTATGGTTATACCTCTATCCATAGCTTTGCTTCCTAAGATCTTTCCTGTTTCCTTTTATCTTCCTCCTTTCCCACCATCACACCCGCTCTGCCTCTTAGTCATTCCTCAGCTAGATTGCTGTTGTTCCACCACCAGAATCTCTATGTCCTCCTCGTTGTAAATTTTCATCCCTTAGTTCTTCCCTGTCTATGGTGTTGTTTGATCATTGCTCCCGTCCTCCTCCCACCAAAGTCCCTCCGGAGCCTGCAGTCCCATTGCTGTCTCCTTGGGCTTGCTTCCCATGCCTGTCTTATATATGCAGGCAAACAACAACAATGGAGGCAAAACAAGAAGATTGAATAAAGGGGGTGGGGGGCGGTGGAGAATAAATAAATAGCAAAAATAAGCACACAAAAAAGCATACATGGTTCCAGGTCTGTCCACTAACCTTTATGACTATCTCCCCACTGGTCCTGGGGTGTTCTGAGAACTAGCCCCTCCTAGTCTGAAGTCTATTTTTGAGGCTTCTCAGGGGCTTTGTGGCTTTGCTTTGTTACTATTGCTGGTCTGTTACATTACCTTCTTGGCTCACCCCATTGGGTGGGGTGCGGGTGGGGGTTCAGACCGGATTCACTCCCCGCCTTGTGTCCCCAGTATTGTCCACAGTCGCGGTGCTCCAGTGAGGGGACATCATGTCTTGAGCTTTTGTCAGCCCTGCAGTCCCCTCCGTGCCTTAGCAGCTCTGAGCGCGTCGTCCTCAGGGCTCCGTGTGCTGGTATGGGGTCTCGTCCCTCACTCTCTTCCTTCTTGGTTTGTTTCCATGTGGGTGTGGCGGGCTGTCCCCTCTCCACAACCTGTAGGTTTAGTGTTGCCCTCTGTACAGAGACCCCCTTCAGTATTGGCCCCACTGGCTCCAATCTCGAGCTTCCTGAGCCCACTGGACATGAGTACACTGAGCATCCAGAGCTAGCCTCCTGCATGGTGCAACCAGCGTGTAGCCTACCACTTCTATCAGGTGCTTTTACATCAGAAACAGGATGCAGATAGTAATCAAGAGTGGACCATAATTTAATTGGGAGCACTGTTTTCTTTTGTCACTGCCACTAGGTCAGGGTAGAAGTACTCCTGTGGGTTTCCAGGACTGTGACACTTTACTGGAGTAGGAGGCTCTGTCTTTCTCCATCCGAGTGACTGGGGGCTTCGTACTGCTGACCAACGTACAACCATTACACCATCAAGGCTCCATTTTCTTTCTTAAAGGTACCTAAAATAATGGGTATTTTAAAGTAGATAATGTCCTCACGAAAACAACTTACTGCCTCGGAGTCAGACTCCTCGGGACCATATAGGACAGGGTAGAAATGGAGACTTTAACTCTATGGGAGCAAAAAGCCTCATCTTTCTCCTGTGGAGCAGTTGGTGATTTTGAACTGCTAACCTTGCTGTTAGAAGCCTAATTCGTAACCCATTACACCACCAGGGCTCCTAACACTCTTAGATGTGATGAGAGACAGTAATAACAATAGTATTTGCTACCGTTTGTTGACTACCTACTCTGCAGTTTTCTGTATCATTGGGCATTTAATCCGATACCACCCCTAGAAGATTGGAATGTACAAATAAAAGCACTAAAGCAAAGCAACATTTCCATTACTAAATGAAAACGCTGAGATTTGAACCCAGCCAGCAGAACAGCTCCAGACCTGCCCCGATAGCCCCTCTTCCTCCCCGCTACGCTTCCTCTTCATAATGGTTTCTTTGTGTTGTTTCCCCTTAAGGCACCGCTGGCTTCACTGTATGACTGATGATCCTCCGACCACAAGGCCACCTACTGCTCGTCCGTTCATTTGGACGAACCATAAATTCAACGTGAGTGGCACTCCAGAACAGTATGTTCCTTATTCCACCACCAGGAAGAAGATTCAGGAGTGGGTCCCGCCCTCAACACCTTATAAGTAGCACCTGTGAAAAACACCTTATACATGTGGGGGGGAAATCAGCTCTTCTTGTAATTGCACTTTATTGCTAGCAACTTGATTAAAATTGTTGGATTAAAGTGTGTCTTTTGTACCTTTTTGCCCTTGATTATGCCACTCATCCACTGCAAAATAAAAGTGTACCAGCATGGGTAGTTCAGTTGACGTTGATTGGAATGGCTGCCAAGTGTACAGTTCCCCCTTGCCTGGGAACAGTGTCTGCTTTGTGAGTGCCTAACTGCCACCGCTGATTGATAAGGGGGCTGACACCCACCCGGGCAAGCATCCTTTCTCGTGGGATTTCAAACTGGAGTGGAGCAACCCAGAGGCTGAGACT